CAACGTGTCTGTCCTTGCTTAAAACTTACATAGTTTTAGGAGGCTCTGTGAGACCACCTATCTTTAAAACATGTTTGGTTGTTGATTGTTCTTGGCTGCAATATCGGGATGTATGGTGATGTATGTATGTTCATGATTTTTTTTCAAAAAACATATTCCACCAAACTGTGTGATGACCTTGACCCCCACTCCCCCCATTCATTCCCCAATAACATTCCAAGAAGACATTCCACGAACCCATATTACACCTTAGAACACTTAGGTCGATGACTGTATACCGGCCCACGACTGGAAACGACTGCCTTGCACTGCTAGAAACTGGATATATATATATATATATATATGACAATATTGATATTTAAGAACAACATGAACACAAACGGATACACTACAAAACTCAGCTACACATTATTCAATGGAACCCTCGGATCCAGGGGGGCATATGTTAGCAAAGCACGCCGAAACGAATTGATCATAATTATATAACTGGAAACTCAAGGGAAAATGAGCCCATGGTTTTGAGATTTGGGCAATGCGAATCCGAACCTGGGTACGGTTGGGTAGTTTGGGATACATATCTAGTCTTGGATCGTTTTGTCTTCTTGGATAGGCTTTGTCCATCTTGGTCCCATCCACTCCGGCCATCCACCGGGTGACACATCCACGGAGCGTGCCGGGCCCTTCAACAGTAGACAGCCCTCTGTGAACCTCAGTGAGGCTGGTCACAGCTGGCGAGCGATCCATTCGAGCATCGAACATCATCGATCCCTTCGAGCATCGATTCTTGTTTTCCTCCCATGGCTGGGTGTCCTGTGTGTATGTGTGAAACCCTTGGAGTCACAGCGAATCTTTTGGTTATTTGCAGGGGGCACGGAGACTGATTTCCTATCCGTGCCAACGAAGCTACGGAAATCAGTTGGAAGAGAGCAACTCTTGTACCTGCACTTTGATCTGGATGTGACGCTGAGTAAGTAACCACCTTCTCCTCTAGCTGACCAGGCCGTTTCAGGTGATTTTGAGGTCTGCAGACAAGTGTCTTCGCTTTCGATCCCGCCGAACCGTGTACTTTGGAGTTTGAGACTTTCAGAAACCTTGACCTGAAGATCGTTAGACCGCCTTACATACTACCTGTTTACCCAGGCAAGTTTTTGACTCAGGCTTCTTCAAGGCTTGGGGTGATCAGTTCCGTACGCATTATCCCAATTGTATGTGTGTGTATCTTTGATATGCGCATCAGTTCAATTTCTTTGATCAAATCGTGGAAAAAACACAACAGAACGCTTGATTTAGTCATCAAAAGCCTCTGTGGCCAATGGAACAAGACGGACCGTTCATATTTGGAGGAACATAGAAACCGAGATGTTGTTGGCAATTTTCCAAGTTTCCAGCCACCAGTTTTCACCCAAGGAGCACCCAACATAATTCTGCAAGGGTGTCACCCAGCTGCACGGGTAGCAGAAACCCTCGAGTCTAAAAGGGGTGTTTTTTTTGGTCGTGTTATAGACAGAATAACAAAGGAGATTCATCTGTCTAAACCACTGGGGCCACTGGGGCCACAAGGCCCTCGGCTGATTCATGTGTACTATAGGTTTCAGAATAGATGGCACAATCCCCCAAAGGTGGGTTATATGGACCCCCGTCTAGACATCTTCGGATTTGTGCCTTCATCCTGCCTGAATGTCTCGCGTGCACGCGCTCAACTGCCTTCCGTCGGATCTCAGGAACCAAGCCATCCAAGTTCAGCCACAGCCGGTTAATGATTAATGCAGTTGCGTTCCAGCGTTTCACCCTGTCTAAAGGCCAATCTTAGGAACTCTTCCATGGTCAGCACCTCATTTCCATCCAAGTTCAGGCTGTCAAAGAGGGTCCATGCATCCTCACTGCGCGATCTTCGTGAGCTTCACAGGCGATACAAGCGTCACACGGTCGACCAAGATGCACAGGGTCAAAGAGGTCTGTTGACTGACCCCTTCCCTTCCCTTCCCTTCCTAGGGCTGTCCCGGTTTCGTCATTCGTCACCGCTAGGGCCTACCTCGTTCAGTTCTCTGCGGTCTATGAACGTCCATACAATGAATGAACATATGTCGTGTACAAATAAAATATGAACATCGACTTGGTGTTTAAGTTGAGCGGTTTCGTTGGCTCCAAATATTTGGGGGCTTCATTATTGGTTTTTGTTCCCGGCGTGGTGAAAGAGATGTTCATTTCCGTTGACTCCTGGAGCAGGGCATGCTGCAAGGTAAACACATTAATTAATAGTAATTAGTAAATATATATACAAATGATTCCACAGTCTTAATTAAACAAACGCACAGTACAAACAAACTGACACAATCACAGCACCTGACCTTCTATATACTCAAAAACAGGACAAGTGACAACTACGTTCAGACCGGACTCACGCGAACCCACCGCCGAGTTCTTCGGTTCCATGAGCATCCACGGGCACGTCGGCGGATGTCCGGTGAGGGATACTGGGACCCGAGACCTAGAACCGAAGACAACGCGACCCGTTCGGCCCCGAATCCTCTGGAGGGGTCCGGGGTCAAACCAATCCCTGAATTTTGAGGGACCAAGGGCTGTTTGGAGCGTCTGGGTGAAGAAATATCAGGCAACAATGGCCGCAGTTTGTTTATGGTCATGAATGTCATTGGGGCATGTCCAGCCCACAAAGCATTGACATGCAAATGATGCAATGGTAGTGTCACTGTAGAAAATGCATCACTATGGTCATAGGGTGTGTTTCGTTCCGCTTCCCTTGTATTGACCGAAAGCAAAGAGGTATCTGCCACTGTCTTTGCCTTGCAGGGTGCTGTTTGTTGAGAACAATCACAATTCCGAAATGATTTTTGCTGGGTTGTTTTATGTTTTCTCTCTTTCCAATGCCCCGACGTTCAATCCATGTGAGATTCCAATGCCTTTCAAACAGAAAAGAAAAGAACTCACATGAGCCCCAGCCGCGCTGAATGGTCAAAATAGTTCTCTCACCAACCGTGGGATCGGCTGTTTCATCACCTGCCAGGTTTAGTAAGTCAATCCATGTGTTCCAAGCAACTGTCGCGTTGATGTCGATGGACTCCAGGAAAATCTTCATGTTCCTGAGACGCATTTTAGCAACGAATTAGCTGCTGAATGAACAAACAACATGCAAATGCCACATTGGAGATCGCTGTGAAGCTCATCTGGGGCTTTCCGAGTGTCTTTTTGCACTGCAAAGCATTAGAAATTGTACATTGACCTTCAAGATGGAGGCTTGATGCCTCTGACTTCCGAATCTGTACCCCATTTCCTGGTCGCTGGTGGAGAATAGCAAGGGAAGTCATAGATTTCATACTTCCTTGCTATAAAAAAACAAAAACTGTCTTGCAGGCAGCTGGTCGCTGGTCGGTTCACCTACTTGGCAACGGCTTCGAAAGGTGTAGCGGGTCCGAAGGCCCGGCCACTGGATGAGTCAGATTGAGTGAGGAAAATTGGTCTGTGAAGTTCCACTTGAAGAAGAACGACTACTAACACACTAGTACTAACTTTTTTACTACTACTACTACTACTTCTTCTTCTTCTTTTTCCATTTTGAATCAAGCATGGAAGCCAAACTCCATCTGTCATCCTCTAGGGTGTAGGACGAAAAGTAGGGCCTGGAGATCCTAGATTGTCTCCTTCACCTGACTCTGTACTGCTGGTTGCTGACTTCAAAAAACATCTTACAAAGAGCCCATATCCAGATTCCAGCATCCTGATCCTGATCCCTGAACCGCCAGACCTGGGAAATACAAAAAGAATCCATAAATCACAATACTGCTGGCCACTCCACATCTTCAAAAGACTGATTGTGTTGCTGCTGTAAGAGCAGCGAGGTGCCAACTCAATTCATGTGTCCACTTTGAGACTCAGGTATTTCCCATGACTAGGTAAGTGGTTGTTCAAGTATGATGTAATAATTGTAATACGTATAATATTTAAATATATAGTGATGGAGAGTGGGCAGTTGTGGCAGTGCGCTGTTTGGCCCATTTGCTATGACAAATGGACTCTCTATAGTAATTTATGTATACCTAATTCATTTGTAGTTTAATTCTATAATAGTAATTTTAGTCAACTCTACATGCATGCTAATTCACGTTTCTTTCAAATTCAATACTAATTTAGATCTCTATATATATAGTTAATTCAATCCAAATTACATAATTCCATTCAACTCTAATTTATTTTTTTTAAAATCGAAAAAAATCATTCCAATTTATATAACTCTTGCTCAATTCAAATGTGGTTCTTGTTCAAGTCTAGTCTAAATCCACAGAGCAGGTGTTGCTGGGGGTGTGAGCTGAAGACAAAATGCTATAAAATCATGTGCTTTCCTCAGGATCTCTGGGAAAGTAGATTTCCCAGAGATGTGTGTTTTCATTAATTTTATGCGGACAAACTTCTGAGAACATGTTTTTTGGTGTGTTTTAGCTTTTATTCTTCAAGAATTGTCCACAAAGTGCAGAAGATTCTGCAGAGTGCACTCCCGGCAGTGTAGTTTTCTTGACAAAGGTTAACAGAGTGCCTTCCTCGCAGGGTAGTTGCCTTGACAAATCTTAACAGGGTGCCCTCCTAGCAGTGCAAGAAAGCTGCACTACCAGGAGAGCGCTTTGTGGACAATTTTGGACCCTGTGGACAAATACAAAAAAACACATGTTTTCAGAAGTTTGTCCTCTGTGGGAGGGTTCAGTCAAGACTCTCTGAAATATGTTCTAGTGTTTGTTTCATGTGTTTGTTTGCTTTTTTGACATATTTTGTCAATTGGTCAGGCTTTCCTGCTGGATGCAATTTGATGCAATTGTTGTACAGCCGTTTTTGGCAGTGCAGATTTCTTGACAAATGTTGACTCAAAAGAACACAAATTTGCAAGAACACTGCACTGCCAGGAGTGCCAGTTATGTATGAAAAAACACAATCCGACATGGTAGGCAACTGCTCTGCTGCTTGGTCAAAGAACTGACAAAAGAAAAAGATCAGGTGGAAGAACCGGTGAAAAGAAATGAACAAGTTAAAGGACCTATTGAAAATGCTAAATATTCCCTAGCTAGCAGCGGCTGAATGAGCTTGGTCTATGATCAAAACCATGTCGGTTTGGAAGCAAAACACTGGGCAAAGCTGAACCACAAACCACTCGCTCACAGCAGGGGAAAAACAACGATCTCTTTCGAGCGCGGGCATCTCATCATCAAAGGCTTTCTCAAACTCCGTGATCCTTGGAGGATTCGGTCAGTCATGAGAGTCTGTGGCTGTATGGTTGAAACACTCACGAACGACGCGCAATCAGCCAGTCGGTTATATGGTTCAATCATCCCAAATGACGAGCATGAACATACGATCACCTCCGGTCTGTGTTTGCTCGTGGCCCATTGGGTGGCCTCTCGCTCAATCAGAACGATCGGAAACCAGGCAAATACCGGGAACATGAAGAAAAACACATCAGCTTTCACATGTATGGAACAGCAGGGGAGTTCTCCACCTGTACCAAAATCCTCGCCTTTCTGGCTGAACATCTTGTAGTGAGAAAGGACCCAAAAGGACCGTGGCTGTGAGGATCCAACAGAGACAAAGACAAACGACATTTGATTTTTCCTTCTTTCGTAGCATACCCGGCTAGTACAGTAGTGTCTAGTAACATTAGTAAACATGTTCAGCAACCTTATCACTTGTCGTGTGTTTGTCGTTCAGCCACTTGCTGGCACAATATGGACATGTTCCCATGCTGCTGTGATTTGCTGTCCGCACGACCTCACAAAGTAGCGAGGTATTCAATATCAACCCGAGAACTCGAGAACCTGTAGCTTCAGACTTTCGGTCAACATCATGGGGTATAGATGGGTATATAGGCATAGACCATGTGCAACCATATGAATCCATATGCCACCATTGTCAAGCTCGAAAACAGAAGGGTCTTTCTGAACCGCCCAAACCGAAACCGGAGGACGTATGCCACCGAAAACCGAACCGGACAGCTTCGCCCAAACCCAAAGGATGGGTCGACTCATCGCAAAAGCTCCAAGCTTCGTGAGGCATCCGAAGCCGGATTCATCCATGCCTGGGCTGTTCGACTGGTGGCCTGGTGGCGCGTTTGGGTATCACACTCGTTCAGTCGTGCTCAGTGATCTGCGACCAGCAACAACGAACTCCTGGTTCAATTCGCAAGGATGTGGCTTCGAAAAGCTCTCACGGTTCTTTTGGGGGTACATTCATGTAAATTCTGCCAACGAAAGGCTCTTGTGGGCTCGAACAGGGAAAATTGCTCAGGTCACCGAGGGGTCAGTCCCAAAGATGGGACGAACAGTGAGGTTTGGTGGGTGGGGCCACCCACCTGGTAACCTCTTGTGTCTTATGTTTGTCGCAAAAACACGGCTCGCGGCTGATACGCCGCCCTGCAACTGTATGCGCGGCTGATTTGCTTTTGTTTTTGTCCGTTGAGATTTTATTTGGTATTTACAGTAGATGTTTCTTTGACATGCATTTCCGGATGCATCAAATCTCATGCGTTTACCCAAGTAAAAGTCTTGCGTGGCAGTGGAGGCACAATGTGTCCATCAACCACGAGTTGAAGGATGTGATGGGACTGGTGCTGTGGAAGTTAAAACAGACCGATGTTGACAGTTTGGATCCGCTGCTTGTGCCCTTGCAGTCGAACAACTGTTCTTTACAACAATGTGCGTTTCGCCAGCTGTCAAGTTGCTGGGTACCTGCAGTGACCCAGCGGCCCCGCATCTTACTTTTAATTTTGATTGAAAACTCGTCATTAGCCCCCCACCCACACCCACCCACCCCACCCCTATCTTCCAAAGCGTGTGTGCATATGACATAATCTTCGAAGCAACCGGAACGCAACGTACATGACAGGCGCAAGGGCGGCGTATCAGCTGCGGGCAAAAAAGAACAATGCATTCATGGATGTGTTGGAAGACATTCATTTGCTCAACATGGCCAGGCTCTGGAGACTTCTGGGAGATCCACTGATCTTAGACTTCTGAACGAAACAAATCCCGCACCTTCAAGACCAGCTGCGTCGGAAAAGCTTCGCGGCCTTGGCACGCAAAGAGGTCCGATTCTCCATCATGACCTGTTTGGGCGCAGCTTCTTGGCACCGGCATATCCAATCCACACCTCGTGAGGCCTGGTGCAAATGATTCGCTCCATGTCGTGATCGTGCCCGGGTGCCCATGTAGCGAACACGGCTTGCAAGGCGAAGATGCCATCATCCATTGATTCTTTGCTCAATCCACAGAAGCAAACGTTCCGTCCAACATCTGCATAGGGCAAGGTCGACCCCCAAACATATGACACATAATATATAGTTGAGAATCTTCGTCTAATGCAACCCTTCAAAGGATTTCTCCAAAATGGACCCCTGTCGTTCTGGTTTTCCGGAAAACGGCGGCGCCTCGTGGTTCAGATCGGCTGCACGGATGGTACCTTAGCAATGGCAGGGGAGGTTCCTGCAGAAGAATGCGGTGGATAGACGGGTGGATAGATGGGTGATGTCAAATGCACTCACCCTGCCATATCAATATTCGAGGTTGGAATTTTCTGAAATGTCTTGGAAGCTGCAAAGCGATCATATGGAGAACAGTTGTGCCACCTTTCCTCAAACAAACTTTTGCTAGAGAGGTTTGCAAACAGCGCTTGCATATCATGCCAGAAACAACAAACAAAGTCCTAAAGGGATTGTCATTTGGTTGTGTTATGATTAATTCTCAACCTGCTGCGGTCATTCTTTGCAATGAACTATCTGGCTGTGAAGTTGCAACGTAAACAAACCACAACCCCCTAAACATTGAAGGGATCACACTTTGTGTTTGAAAAGCACCTAAGTGGAGTGCCTACAAAGTACATTTGATAATTTATGGGTGTCAAAAGCATTGCCATCACAACTAAGTGGATCGCAACTGCCAGCCTTCATTGATCACGATCAATCCAGCCTTCCCGACCGTTCAATGAAGGAGTGGGACCCTACCTGGTGTGATGCCAAAGGTAGACGGTGCTTTGACCTTTGTGGATCTGAATCATGGCACAAACACCTCCCACCAACCAACAATCTAAGTGGACCATCCCCTCTTTCTAGAGGAAAAAAGTCTTTCCACGGGCCAAGTTCCACTAGAAATTATGGTTGGCGGGAGGGAAAGCCTTGATGTCTGGAAAAGTTTCTCCCCAAAGGCTGCAGTAATTCAGCTTTGTGATCTATGGGAGGAATATGTTTTGCATCTGTCGGCATCAACCCGAAAGGCAGAATCTGCCACTCCAGTATATTTTGACTGATGACCTTGTCCATCCCCCACACCATGACCTTGTGCTTCAAAGTGTCTGTTGCAGAAAACCGCAATCATAACATTCAAAAGAGCCAGCATTGCCATGCCGATGAAGACATGAAAGAGCTGCATCCAACCCTCCCCCACCTCCTGAGGGCTTACGACGAGTCGAAGGGTGGCTTGGCTCAAGTTGGGAGAGTGTGGCCCCCAACCAAGTGACCCCTGCAATACGGCAATATCCCATGTCTTCTTTACAGTATAAATTCTGTTTCCCTGAAAGGCGGTTTTGAGGGTCTCAGGAAGTTCTTGCCGTCTGATGGCACCCACTGTGAGTGTCCATCACTCCATCACCGATACTCACGGCTTTTCACTGCCCAGTCCACTTCGCCGGGTCTGATCCTTCACATCAGTCCAACCCCCAGAGCAGTCCACGCAGTCTGCGCCCATGTATAGTGGAGAAACCACTTGAGAGGGTTTCTGATCGTTTCTGGCTACAAAAAAATTCTGTGGTAAACTCTCATCTTCTGCAACTCTTTCATTCGCTTTCCCTTGGCCGAAGGTGTGCTTGTGACGTGTTTTCTTTGATCGAAGGAGACCAAAGGTGCCAAGATTGGTACGATCTCAAAGCCGGTCTCAGGGTCCAAGCATGTCTTTGGGCGGGTGGTGAGAAATTGGGAGTCTGCCAACCTGGGAATCAACTTGAATACTTGACCCACGTTGTCGGTGGTCAAAGGTCCAACGTTCAACTGACCAGCTTTGCATCCCATGTCGCGTCGCGACAAGTGTCACCCGTGATGCCCTCTAGGCATGGTTGACACATCAAAGTCAACAGAGTGAACCTAACAGGTACAAAGCACCGACCAACACCTGTGGACTAAATCCCTGTTTGCAAACGTGTCTTTAATTGATCCCGGTGATTGATGAGACTATCCCGGTATATCCCGGTCGACAACTATGCTGGGCTGGACTCTTGCTCATGCGGAGTGTTCCAAAACTGGAATCTTGAAGGTCACTCTTAAAGATCAGAAAAGAGAGAATGAAAGGCAAGCGCAACAACTTGGAATCCGTGACAAACACAAAAACCGCCTGAGAACCGCTCATGAAGGCCTCTGCTGTTTTCACAGGTAGGAGGAATGTGAGGGGCTCAAAGCCGAACACAAATCACCCTTCCGGACCAATAACATCTGCAAGCATCTACGAGTAAATCAGCTGGTACTTGCCAGTCCAAACCTGAGCGGGTGTATTGGCAACCGGACCAACAAATGAGCGACGAAAAAAATCGTCAGTCTGTGTGTGTGATGTTTCTATTCATGACAGCCTTCAATTCAGGTCTCGTTCTCGGCAGGCATAAACGTATTGACATATAACTCATATACAGTATACAAATGATCACAAATTCAATGCAATGAAAATCAATCAAATTCATTAACCTTCTCACCATTCTCCTCTCTATCCTGCTGCCCAAGAGGCCACCCAGAATGGAACGGAAGAGCGTTGTCATTGACTTGGACACCTCGCTTCGGGCCGTTCACACCCGCACGGCCCAAACCTCTGGAGAACACCAGGCCCGACTTGGCCGCAAAAACAGGGCCGAGAACGCGAGGAACAATAACTCGGCCACCTGTGGTGGTCGCGGCACGGTCTTTTGAAGGAGCCAAAACCATACAACAAAAACTATACAACAAATCTGCAATGTGCTTGGTTTACCTCCAAAAATAGTTTATCACTCTGAAAAAAAACATAACACGGAGTTGGAGCATTTGGCGCTGGTCACACACCTTAGCAGAATCACTTCAAGAGGGTGGCAAGATCCATAATCAAGAGGGGTTTGTGTGTCATTTGCCCATAATCACAAGCCCCCTAACCCCAAAAAGCGAGTTTTGCGGACGCTCACACTCGACAGGCCCTCATGTCGACGCTCACACTCCTCGCATATGTCATGAGTGGCGAACTCGACTCACTCTCACCGGAAATCGACTCTGCTCACGAACTCGGTCCGGGAGGGTCCGGGAGAGCGCAGCTAAGAGAAGCACAACATGTTCTGGGACGCAAAGCCGGTGGTTGGCTGAAAGGGCATGCTGAAAGCGCAAAACCCAGTGCAAATCTGTGGGTGGGTACTTCCAAAGGCACCCCTGCACACCAGTATGGAAGAAGACACATGCTTTAGCTGGGTGTCGGATCCGAAGTACTTGCAAAGGCAATCATCGCCATCACAGCAGTTCGGGAGCGATTGCAAGTGGAGCAGCACAGCATCCGTGAAGAGCCTCAAGCATTAGTGGTTGGTCGTTGCAACCCAACTGAAGAATATAAGAAATAGATCTTCGTTGGGAATGATTGAAACTACCCGATTAGAAAATAAATGGCAACTAGTTCTGTCAAAATCATGGAATGGATCGTAGGGCGTCTTGGACCACTTTCCTCCACGTTCCGAGCCACCACTTCAAACATCGCACCTCCCAGCGAGGAACACACCCAAGACAGGCAAGTCTAATTGAAGGTAAGTTGGCTGCAAAACTGGAAACACTCCACCCAAAAGACCGACTCCAAGCAAGAGTAAAAGTGTTACTGTACCCTTTCAAGAGTAGGAGCAGGCCAAAAATGTAGAATGCGATGATCCTCATCACGACAGCGGCTTGGGAGTCGTGGACTAGAGATAAGACTTGGTCGTTGCCTCTGCAACTATACAAGTACAGCTATTTTGGTGTCCCTTACTTGGAGGCCATCGCCATCGCTATTAGATTGGAGGCCATCGCTATGAGGTTGGAGGCCATTCCAATTTCGGTGTCCTTTCAAGCCCCTCGCATGAACTCCCAAAGCATTGTGTTCTACCCGTACGGCCCGTAGGTTACCTTCTACCAAACGGTCTTTGGGTTTGGGGTCTCCAATCTTATGTAGTACATACAGTGGGCCCATTGTGCCACATGTCACTGTTGGGCCCCGGCAACTGTCGCTGTCGATCTATCTCTCGGAGCAACACCGCACGATCCCATGGACGAAAGCGAGAAACGTGAGCAATCAAAACCCCTTCACATTCTACAGTCTTCGGAGGGTGGGATCAATTGTTCCTAGTAGCTTCTTGTTCCTAGTAGTAAGGCCAGGAGCCCCTAGAAGCGTCTTTGCTCCTAGTAGTAAGGCCAGGAGCCCATAGTAGCGTCGAATGCTACTGGACAAGACTTCAAGCAGCACTTGCTGTTTCCGCTGTAAGGAGTAAAACGGACAGAGTGCCACATTGACCCAAAGCCGTCATGCACGACATGGATGGAAGGCCTCGTGACTGATTTGGCGGGTGAAACATTTGGCAAGTCCGAGTTGGCCACTGATATGCGTTGCTTGGTCCACTGGTTTTCAGCCGGTCGAACGCAAGTTGAGCGTCAACAAGACCAATGCCCAGAACAGTGATCGGGCAGCATCCATGATGGAGAACCTAGGCTGAACTAAGCTTTGTCTCGGTCTTCAGGTCACTAAGTCCAAGGTAAAGTCGTGCACTAAGCTGTGTTTCTTTCTCCAATGGAGCTTCAACAGGAATTCAGCCGGGCTTCCCTACAGTTCGCAACATAGCAAAACCCCAACTGTAAGCTTTTAATATGAAAACCTGCAAACCTTCTAGTGGGTGCTTTGGGAACAGGAATTCATGGTGACCATATTTGACCATATTCCACAAACAAGGGTTGAAAATACGTTAGGTCCGGTCTAGGGAGAACTGAACTAGATCATGAATTAGGTCCTGTACAAACATGATCAAACATGTACAAATTATCCGCTGATGAAAATGGGACATGCCTGGTACGGTCTCAGAAACGTGGAATGCACTGGTGAGTAACAGGACCTGTCTGGTGAGTAAGGGATGAAAGCCTGGTACATAAACAATGGAAAGAGCGCTCTGCACTCATTCGGGGCAAGGTAGTGTGACACCGAATTCGATGAGACTTGAGTTGACCTGGCTATTTCTTCGATCTCTTCGAAAGGTACAAGCTGAAAATAAAGACGTGCTGCACTTGCCCAAAGCTTCCAACAGTCCAACAGTCATCGATAGACTAAGCTACGCTTGAAGCGATAAGGTTCCACACCTGAAGGTAGAAGATCTCTATAGAGGTGTAGTTCCTACTGATCCTTACTGTCAGGAGTCAGAAACATGTTTTATTTGGTCCAACACCTCTTGCGTGCAGAACACCAAGCGCTTGCCTACACCAGCCCCCCTTCCCTTCATTTGTCCCAACTCCGAATAGCTTTTCACCATTGACCATTGGTCACGACTAGTCACGAATAGACCATCCAGTCCAACACCTCCCTCCAGGCGTCCGAGCAACACCAAGATACGCAGGGCCCCTAAGAACTTCAGGATCCGGAAGGAGCGCACGGACTGCAGCAGCTTCCCGATCCGAAACAGCCTCACGATGCCTTGGACGCCGAGGCCGCGCAAAGCCCGGCCGCGCGTCGGCCAGTCGGCCACAGCGTCCACGAGAAAGCGCGTGGGGACCACGCGTCAGGCGTTTTGGGAGGCGCGATGCGTTTTTGGGGGCTCTCATGTGGGCCCGGATGGTTTGGGTCAGTATTAACAAGAAATAAGCATGAAACCTGGGAAGGCACTAATTGCAACATCATCGACATCATCCTGCATAGCTCCTTAGCTCCATGAAAAAGGGGGCTCCTTGAATGTTGAATCCAGGTGTAGTTTGACCCGAATTGACCTGCCCTGGACTTGGGAACAACCGCATTTCAGAGTGGAGGAGTTGGTATTGAAAGTCCTCCAAATTCATTCGTATCAGTTGTCAGTAGTTGTGCCAACTTGAACCTGGCCTATATATAATATATATATTACACAAAAAGTCAGCATGACTGCGGCCCAAACAGGGCGGCCATCTTGAACCAAAAGAACCCAACATATCTGTTCTTTGGTCGTCCTTGACAGGCGCTGTTTCACCGGAGAATGACCTGGCCATCTCTGGGATGAGCTGGGGAGTCTTCCATGAGTTCATGTACCACCGTCTCCATCACTCATCACTCATCACTGTCACTATCCTAAAGCAGTTCCACTTCTCCTCTGAGTTGAGTTGGCAGATGCCTAAACCAGCCGAGCTGCGCACGTTGCTGCTCGAACCCTCACTGTCCTGAGCGAAAAAGACATGATGTTGGAAGATGCTGCTGGTGCATCAAACAGCATCTACCGGGCAAACCGCTGGAATAGTTTATAGACGAGACAGGACACAGAGCAACAATTACAGCTACAAGTCTAAGTACCACATGGTGGAACACGGTGGAAGTAAAGCTTCGATGCAGATTGAAAGTTTAAGGTTGATTTGGGGAGGACATGAGAGAGCACGCTGTGTTGAACACACGGAAGTCGAACACCTTTAGTTTGCACGCAAATACTGTGCAGCAACATGATGTTGATGTTGGTTGATCTCCCCAGCCAATGCACCGGTCAAACTCTTTTTCAGTTTTTACCGCTCCACTCTTGGCAAGTTGGAAAATTCTCTGGCCAAATCTCCCAGTGAGTTTGCCGCCTTGGATCCCCAAGTCAGGTTTTGTCTTCTTCATGCTTCTTCAGCAGGGGGCATGTCCACTGTTCAAAACACCTGTGATACAAAAAAACACAGCAGCCAGGTCTTCAGTGACACCGACGTCACGACGTCCGCCAGGAGTCGTTTCGATTGACCATCTGAATCGCGATTTCGATCCATGCCGACGTCACAACCACCACATCTATCCAACTCCAAAGACATCCCCGGCCACAGAAGTAGCCTTGGACAAGGCGATGACTCAAACCTGTCTGAGATTGAATGTTGGGAGAAAAAGGACTGATAGCTGAAACAAACATGACTCTGTGACTCATTTCAAACATGTTCCAATCAGTTCCTGACCACAACTTGCTTCTTCCACTCTTGATTTGCCTCTTAGACAGGTAACAGGAGCAACAAATTAAAGGAAACACACATACATGAATCCTATTGCAACACAGGAAACAGCAGCTTTGTCCGCACGGCTTTGAGATTTCACAGCCGGTCGGCGCTTTTTTTGTGTACCGGGTCGGCCCCCCAAAGCCGCTCGCTTGGGCCACAAAAGAGATTGGAAGGGCCACAAGAGAAACTCACAACATCTCACAGCAGTCTCTATCACCGGAGCAAAAGGGCTAAAACCTGGTAGAAAATCCCTTGTGCTCATAATCCCCACTCAACCGGCCATGTGGGGGTTGTCGTGGTCACAGCTAGCATGCTCCAAGCCAATCTGGCTGTTTTCATCTCAGGTGACTTCACTGCAAGGGGGCCTTCGATTCGGAATATGGTTTCCTCAGTTTCCTCTGTTCGCAAAGCCCTGCGTAAGTTCGTCTCACTTGCTTCGTTCCTTCTATACAGCGTATCAACGCCTGGCAAGACGGCGACAAGACCAGTTTCGACTCCAAACCCCTGGCCCCTTACCAGGGTCCCTGGTGTGGGGTGCCGCATAAGAGCCCCTTGATGGCATTTGGTTCGGGGAAGTCCCAGTGAACAGTGGAGACATGTCAAGCAGCTGCGCGGGCCAAAGGCAAAGAGCCGAACGAAGATCTCCACGGTGAAAATCCCCTCGGCCCGAGAGCCGCGCCCCACACAACAGCGTGCCTCTGCGCGCCCGCAGGGCGCGCTCGGTCGTAGGTTTGTCATTGCAGGGCTCTTTACTTCAGAAGGTGTGAGTGCGATTGTGTGCTTTTTGTGGAGGGAGCAAAGCAAACTTAGACCTTGACCTCAGTTGCGGAGTTCGTGCGTTCAACCAAACGTTTGTGCTTGGCTTGGGCAGGTGAGAGTGGTTGGACCGAGCAGCGACTGGATGCGCAGCATGCTCTTCGTTGTCCAACATATCCTGCTTTAAACCATAGTAGCTAGCTATAGGTTCTTTCAATCAAATGATATCAAATGTATTCCTGCCAATAATTTAGCAAAAAAGGAGTAAACATCCAAAGACATGAAGTCTCAAAAAAGCCTATACTATCCGATCTGCTGTTGATCCAAGGTGAGGCATATGATGAATCGGTACTCTGGTGAAGTGAGATTGGCAACGCCAGGTTGAAGGATACCGTACAAGCCAATTGGGGCAAACCACTAAGCCATTTGAGGTTCCTAGTTACCTGCAAACAAGAAAACATAAATATATATATAATATATATATATATAATCCAGTGACAAAGCAAGTAACTATATGATCAAATTCATGAAAAATAAACAATGTCTTTGGGAACCACCCAGCAATCGAGCTGTGGAAACCAATGAGCCATACGACACCATGTGCACGCCCAGTATAGAAGTCTTTGTGATCTTTGTGTCCAGCTCCAAGAGTGACACTGTGAGTGACACTGGCTGTTTCAGGGTGATCCAAAA